TCAGTTAGTTAGGATGGGCTAAGCAAGAGGCCATGCTCACAGATATGCATGCATGGTGGTTTGTCTTCCTTTTGGGGAAAGAAGATCAAAGCCTGGTGGGGTTATCCCTCAGAGTTGTGTTGGGCCAGATGCTCCCATCTGCACACAGAACTGCACTTACCAACTAGGAAAAGGGCCTAGGAAAGAGTCAAGCAGAGCTTGGTAGAGTCACTGTTCAGCCTGGATTGGGCAGGGCCAGAAGATACTATCTGCTCATATTCATAAATTTGCACTTACCTCCCTACCTAAGAATGCTCAAGCAGAGATCTGGAGCTGGGTGAGGGAGGTAGTCTAAAACCCAAACTTCGCAAACCTGTCATGGTCAACATGAACCCAACCCTACTGGTCAGTAGCTAATACTGACCCCATGTGGTCTAGCCCTGCTGAGGCCCCCAATGTTCCATATGTGGTCTCCTGTGAAGGGTCCCACCATGGTGAAGCTTAATGTCTGCCTCCAACTCTTTCCCACTGCAGAAGCTATGGAGCCCAGAGAATTCTCCGTGTAGTGCTGTGCCATATTGGGGCTGTGGTAACAATCAAAGAGGACCAATTCATCTTATTCTTTAAATGCAGCTTTTCTCAATTCTGCTGCCTAATGGGCTATCTCAGCCTCACACCCTAGTTCTGAGATATTTGCAAAGGTATTTTTGCCTGTGTAGCTGCTAGCTGAATGTCTGTAAGGGGGAATGGAGCCAGAGAACCTCTGTTCTTTTTAACATCACTTTTCTTTTTTTTTTTCTTTTTTTTTTTTTAAACAGAAGGATCTCCTGAAAGCTTAAAAATACCTGAGACTTTAAAATGATTTTAAACTTAATTAAATATTCCTTTCATGTATGTTTACACCAGTTCAAATAAAATTTGTGGATTTGAGTAGGACAACCAAGAAGTAGAGTAGGTACATTCAACCGTATTTAGGAGAAAATATGAGGTGTCTGTCTTCCTTTGCCAGCTGTTAATGGTTATTTCAAGGGTAGTATGAAATGACCTGTCTTAACATGAAGGTTCCTTACCACTGATTTCCTGAGATCACATCTTAATTATTTCATTACGAATCTAAATCAAACTTTTAGGGTTTTTGTTTTAAGGCTAATTAAATAGTTATTAAATGGCTCATTAAGTAGTCTCTAACAATATTTTGAGGGATATCAAATATTTCACTACAATACTACCTGTTCTTAATTCTTGTTACTTCAGGTGTAAAAAAACTTTATGTAAAGAACCAGAAAGTAAATTGTAATAATGAATGCTTAGGAGAGAGTCTGATACACTAAGCAATTTATGAGCCTATGAGGTCAACACTCATTTGAGAAAGTGGTCTGCTGAACTACACTTCTCAAACAGTTTGCTTACTAGGCTTTGCTGCTACAAAATGGCTTTGCTGCTGCTGCTGTTGCCTATTCTTCCTTCATGTCAAAGATCCTCGTTTTCTGTTTCAGGGAAAATACCCATGGCATACCTGTGGCAAACACTCTTATGAAATAAATACCACTACCTCTCTTAAAGATACCATCAAAAATAGATAAATGCTGTTGGAAGCAGGGAGCTGCCCTGAATGCAGGGGTCCCCTAGGGGGCACAGCTCTCGTCCAGCTGCATCCAGCTGACGAAGCTTCATGAAATCAAAGAATTGTTTTGAAAATAGCTGGAGATGTTTTTGAAGTCTAGACTTTTGTCCTTGGAGCATTCCTGAGAACTTGGGAGTGTGTGCTATTCCTGTAAACCCACGCATCCAGCTGCTTACACAGAATTAGTAACCCTTTGTTTAGACATGCACTTAGAAAAGTATATAAGGAGAAATGCCTGTTGAATAAAGTGCAACAGCCCTCGAGACTGTTTGTCTTCCTGACCTCATCTTTTGTCTCTTGTCTCTTTTCTAATCCTGCGCTCATCTTCTCGCCCTGCCATCGCCAGCTGGCTTCCAGCTAATGCTCTGGATTTGTGTGAATGCATGTTTTAGGGCTAGTCTCCCTACAGTTTAACAGTTTAAGCTGGGAACCTTTAAAGCCAATAACAGGTTTACATGGAGAAGTCCCTGTTGATACTGACTGGGGACACTAGGAATATGGATAGTGAAGTAAAAAACTTCTCTCTGAAGTACATGTATTCTCAAAAACTGCCCCTAATTTGAGGCAGGAAACAAAAACTGAAACAGAAGTCCATGAGCTGGCTAAATCGAAAATCCAAAATCTACTTTATAAAAAAATTTATACAACAAAAAACTTAAAAGGGTGTTGATTGGTTTTTGGGACTCTACAATACTATCTGTTGAGACACAGCAGCTGTCAAATCTTCATGGTCCTAATCAATACTGGAACCGAAATTACAATTATACCTAGGATTCCCTTAAATTTTACAAGGTGTTCCCATACTCTTGGGGTAGTTACCAAACACAAAAGAGGAGGCAAGAAGATTCACCTCACCTTAATCATGAGAATTTTCTTGCATAAATGCCCCACAATCATAGCATCTACTGCTCTAAAATACTCCATAAAAGGCATGTATACTTTGAACCAAAGAGTAATACATTAATGAAATTAAGTCTGTAGCAATTACAACTGGATTTAAAACTTGGAATCCTGTGGAATACACCTATTAAACACAGTCCAGTATATATTAAAATAGAACATTTAAGATCTATTTAGAGAAAGAATAATTATCCTTGTTTCTGCATTTAACAGTCCGATTTGGCCTGTTCTTAAATCTGGAAAAAACAAATGGTGTATTATTGTAATCTTAATGCCATGAACCCACACATGAAGTCCCCTATGCTCAATTATTATTGTAATTACTGATTGCATTCCATCAGCAACAGGCAAATAATTAACAGATTTAGCTAGCATATCCTATTTAGCACCTATTTTACCTCACAGTTGTAATTTATCTTTACCTTTGAAGAGACAGAGTACACATTCACCTGCTGACGTGCGGAGGTATTTCAACACTCCTGTCATCAAACACCATCTTTGTAGACATGATCTTTCTTTTCTTTTATTTGGTGGCTGGCTGGTAGATATCCAAACCCCTGCCCTTGATGTTACAAGGCTATGCTCCAGTGAACTGAGATAACTGGCTAGCCCCTGTAGACAAAATCTTAACTGCATCCAAAATCTTTTGTGAGCATAGGTATCACATTACATTGAAGATATCCCCTCCTGAGGTTTTTTTTTTTTTTTTTTTTAATATCCTCACTCAAGACAAAAACACAAAGGAGCTTACAAGGAATTTACAAAAAAAAAAAATGGGTCATTGTCCCACATATAATATACTTTAATAAAATTATGGCATTATTTAGTGTAGGGCTATAAACCCCGGATGCTGTCAAAAAATATTTTGCAACATATGATGCTAAAACAAGCCCAACATTTTAAAGAACTTTTTGTGTTTTGGAGGGAATATAACCTTTATTTTTAAATTTTACTTAAGCATGTTTATTACACTGGTACTTGCCAATCAGCCCACCTCAATTGAGGGGCCCTCCAAAAAAAAGGCTCTAGGATCTATACCAATAGCAAATAAGCACTCCACTTGGTTGACACGAGAGACTCCCTCATTATGGAGGCTTTAGCAACCTTCACTCCAGTCTCCTGGAATTGTCACATCATATACCCATGATGGCTGTAAGATTCCTATGGACATCTAATGCAAGAAATCACCCCCCCTTAATCCCATGTATATACATACCATTTAGAGTGGCACTTGGCTGACAGTATACTGGAGTCTTCTGGACATACAGGCTCTCACAGGACCTGGCCCCATGATCCTTCCTACCCAACTGTCCTTTATCCTTCAGTCATGCAAGGCGGCAGCATCCCAAAAGCTCATGATAACCTGAAGACTCCTTGCCTCATGTGTTTATAGGCCATTTGTGTATCTTAATGAAGAAATGTCTGATCAAATTCTCTGAAAATTTTTATCTCTTTATTGTGGAGTTGTAAGAGTTCTTTATATAGTCAAAATTTATATAATGCTAAATTATGATTCTAGATTTTGCAAGGTGGAATACTGTACAGAACTGTTACTAATGAGGAAAAAATATGATGGCAACAAACACAAATTAAAAACAAAGTTGTACTTGTTAAAGAAAAAACCTTTAGACAAGCCATATTTGTTGGAAAAAATCAACAGACAAAGTTTTTGCATGGCTATCCACTTATCATGAATTGTATCACATATGCAGGGTTCTGATGTTCTTGGCAAAATGTGGAGAGTATGTACTATAAATTCAGCAACATGCTTTCATGTACATTTGGCTAAATATGCCAAGAAGTTTTGAACATCATCAGTAAGTCAACTATTCAAAGCTGCTTTCTCATAAGCACTATAAAGCTAGTTCTTGGTCTCAAAACACATTCTATCCAGATAAGTGTTCAAAACTCCACTGAATAAGAACCAAAAATGAACATTGTGTACTTTAATTTCTTGTTCTTTGACTTAACAACGTACATATTCTGGCATCGGATTTCTTCTTCTTCTTTAAAAAAAAAAAAAAAAAAAATGACCTGTAAGGGGATCTTAACCCTTGGCTTGGTGTTATCAGCACCACACTCCCCCAAATGAGCCAAAGGCCGGCTCTCAAATTTAAACTCTAGAGTTTTCACACTTAACTGAAATTATAGTAAAGTTGGATCAAACCATATGCAGGTTTATTCTCCTTTATTTTGTTATATTTGTATTACTGCAACCATGTATTAACTTGATTACTGAAAAATTTTCAGAACAAATATAGTATGTTTCACAAACTAATTGATGAATCTCTTCACTAAAAGACTTAACTGACTAGCTTAGCCCTTAATTTCATATTATAGTTGACTTATTTTATTTTTTGGCTGCTGGCTGATAATTTAATTTTTAGAAAGGAATCCGTAAAAAAGAAGATTATGATCTAAATTTCCTGGTAAAATATATGCAAGAAATTGGTATACACTGAAAAAAATAAACTAGTAACTCAATGCAAGGCCAATATATACTCAACATGGCATTTTATTGTATTTCTTTGCTGTAGCTCCTCCATTCAGAAAATAGTAACCATGTTTTCACCAATTTATAGTTCCCCTCCCTCACTCCAGGCTTAGTGTATAGAATTCATTATGAAATTAGTTTTTCATTTATACATTGCAACTTAATTGTTTACATAGCCCAAAACCATGGGTTACAATGCTTTAACTTTGAAAATAAAATGAAATCTTCTGACATATATATTTTGTACAGAAAAATACACAATGCATTTTACAATACAAAAGCTGTCTTGTTTGAGAAATTTTCTATGCATGTTAAGTAAAAATACTGTCAATTAATATATCAAATTTCCAATATTAAGATAATTGATTATTATTTTGTTCTTCAATTTCTGCTACTACTAATCTTAGAAATTTCAAAATTGCTACTCAAACACATGTTCTAAACCACATTTTGGAAATGTTAACATCATGAAATGATGAAAGAATGTAGAAGATATCAGTATCAAAATACGTACGGTTACATAAATAAAACAGCCCTATTTTTTCTGACTCGAAATGCAGATTTGTCTTCCTTAAATTTTATCAAAAATCTCAAGAGAGCATCTAGGTAACAGGAACATGCATTAAGACTTTACAGAATAAACACATTAGTTGGAACTAGGGCTATTATAATCCTTGATGATTATAAAGCAAACAATTTATTCAAAACATCCATTTACTAAGAGTGAAGTAGACACAAAAGGGAAGGCAGTTCTTTCTTTTGTTTTAACAGCAGATATGGTCTTTTACTCCTAAGTTCTATTACATCAAAAGAACAAAGTGTTAACATTTCAATTAAGATAATATAACACCAGTTTTTAAAGAAATATATCACCAATTTTTAAAGAAATATAATAAATACATTAGAACAAATAATGAAAATAGATCAGCCTTCTTTAATAAACTATATTCATGCTAAATGAAGTTGCAGTCTTCTTAACAGGTAATGTTCAAAGTTCCAACTGCAGAATGATCCTCAGAAAACACTCAGTTCAATTTAGATCTGTATGTGAAAAGAATGTCACATCCATGGAAAGATGATTTTTATTACAACATCCACATAACATATAAAAGGGAGGTACATAAAGAAAATATTAGTGTATATCTATATATTTACCCTGTTTCATTTTCTTTCTTCTTTTCTTTTTTTTTTTCCTTTTTTGTCTTTTTTCGTGACCAGTAGGTCACGGGATTCCAACCCTCAGTGTCGTGCCCGTACCGCGACTGGCAATGGGATCGCAACCCTCGGTGTCGCGCCCGCACCGCACTCAACCAGTGAGCGGACCGGTCTGTATATGGGATCCCAACCCTCGGCGGGAGCGCTGCCGCACTCCCAGGCGCCGCACTCTACAGAGTGTGCCACCGGGCCGGCCCTCATTTTCTACTCTTATCTTTGAGTATGCTTTAAAATTTACATAACATTAGGGTACTATTATGTTTAAAAATTTATGAACACAAATATACAATAGAGGTACAGAGTCAAGTTTTCTTTAATTCACAGTGTAAGTAATCTATACAAAGCAAAATGTCAGATGAATATAAGGTTGGGTCTGACAAATCAACTATGGAAAAATGTAAATTGTAAAATGTTGGTGGGGGGCCGCCCGGTGGCACACTGCTATAGTGCGCCGCTTGGGAAGCGTGGTGGCGCTCCCGCCGAGGGTTCGGATCCCACATACAGACCTCTGCTCACTGGCTGAGCGAGGGGCGGGAGCAACACCGAGGGTTGCGATCCCGTGGCTGGTCCCGGTCCGGTACGGGCGCGACACTGAGGGTTGCGATCCGTTGCCGGTCACGAAAAAAGACAAAAAAGGAAAAAAAAAAATGTTGGTGGGAGATATATGGTTTATTTTAATTAAAAATTCTTTCAACTTCTCTGAACAGTTTGAAGATACAATAAAGAGGATGTGAAGTAAAAGGTTTGGAGATCCATTTTCTAGATTAATGGTTCCCAATGAAATGTGAGTATCAGGATCACTTGTGCCAAACTTAAGACTCTCCAAAGATTGGTTTTTGTCATTTTTAAAAGTTCTGATAATTGTGTTGCACATACTTTAGTCCAGAACAACTGCTCTAGGTATTCTAAAATTTCATCTTAGTATCCAATCAAACACTCATTACTATTGCTGGATTTATATATACATTTGAACTATGTATTTATCACAGGGGTATTAAAAAAAGAGCCTAGGCCTAGAGGAAGTATAAGCCATACCATCATTCCAATAATTTTAAAAAAATGTATATATTATGTATGTTCATATATTCTAAGTATACACATAAACACATACATATGGAAAATCAACATGAATTTTAACGTAGTAGGAGCAAAAAGCTACTATATTCCACAAAATAAAAGACATACCAACTATAAACCAAGGGTTTGGACAACAGTAATACCTGAGTAATAAATAAAATAATGTAATATCATTACATGCCCTGCTCTCCATTTTAACAAGACTTTTAGAGTATGTTGCAGTTTCAGTGCTGTATCAACTTGGTTGATAATAAACAAGGTTCTTCTTTTAACATACTAATATTTCATTAAAGAGAATGCATGTTCATAAAACTGTCTGTTACATTTCTTAATAAAGTGACCTCTTACAGACAGCCTACTGCAAAAGTCAATATTGATTTTTAAAGCAAGAAATATTCCAAAGGATTATAAAGTTTCTCAAAGTATAAATAGTTTGACTAGCTGTTCTTTGAATAACACTGAATATTCAAATTCAGAGACATGTCTCAAAATATACTTAATTTAAGTATTCAATATTCTTAGATTAAAGGAAGTTTAAGTGGAAAAAGCTGCTTTCTTTATATATAAAACAAACAGAAAACCTAAAAGGGTCATCTACTTACATCATCAATAGCTTCATCATCATCTCCAATATCATCAAACTGGATTTCATCATCATCTCCAGGGCCAAATGTATCTGTTTCATTGATTTTAGCTAAAGACAGAATAACGAATATACTCATTATATAATCAAGATATTATTAGAATGAATTTCTCACTAAAAGAAATGTGTCTGATATAAAATACTGAACTATGGAAAGAAAATTCTCACAAGTCATATTTCATTACAAGAAAAATCTTAACTTCTACATAACTCTACCCTACAGAGCAAATAAACAATAAAATCTCTCGAGTTTATTCATTATTAAGTCATTTTAACAGATATTATGTGTGCTTTATTTTTCTTTTGTTCAATGGTATTTTAGTAAAGCAGGTCTAATTCAATTATATACCTTTGAATTACAAATACTTAGGAATTGTATATACACTAACTCAATTACACACTTTTAAATTATGTTTCAAAAAGTGTTTGAGCACAGATCAACAACTTATGTTAAGCATGTATAAAGCTCTCCTGAAAATAGAACAGCTAGTTCACCAGCTATTAGATAGACTTACCAAACCAGTCAGAAAGATTTGGTCAAATGATGCTTATCCCTAAGCAACAAAAGTGAAAATGGAAGTGCTAATCTGATTCCCAGATATTTCAGAACTTTCTAAAATGCCAATAACTTCATCCAGATTTTCATGTTTACGTAAAAATCGTATTATTTTACTTATAAAATGCAATGGAATATGAAAACTAAAATGGCTGCCAAGCAAAATATGTGGACTTAAAAATGAGTGCATTTTCTCTTTGAGATATTATGAAAGACTTATTTTTAACCTTGTCCAGCTGCCTGCAATGAGAACGTGTTATGTTTCTCTTAAGAAAATAAGTATTTGTTAAAAAAAAATCCTATGGATACAACCATGTGAAAATGAACTAAACATTGTTTTCTATAAAAATCAACACCAGGGGCCGGCCCTGTGGCACACTGGATAGTGCGCCGCTTGGGAAGCGCAGCGGCGCTCCCGCCCGAGGGTTCGGATCCCACATACAGACCGGTTCCCGCTCACTGGCTGAGCGAGGCACGGGAGCAACGCCGAGGGTTGCGATCCTGTTGCTGGTCCCTGGTCCGGTGCGGAGGCAACACTGAGGGTTGCGATCCGTTGCCAGACACGGAAAAAGACAAAAAGACAAAAAAAAAAAAAAATCAACACCAGTGTTATAATTGTTTCTCTTGTTTAGATGAAAACTGCCAATCTCTTGAGAATTGTTAAAAAACAATATTACAAAAGTATTCCTTTGACAAATTATTATGTACTAATTCAGAGCTTATATATTTATAAAATCTCCACTAAAAGAACATTTATTTGAGATTACAACTTACCATTTCTGAAGTATTAGTATTATAAAGAATAGGCAGGCATACTTAAAACTAATTTTGTAAGTACACACTGGGTAACATAATAATTTAGACATTACCATGTTCTGGAAGCTCTCCATATGCCTTCAGACTTCTAGCTTCATCTGCATTGTACTTTAAAATTACATCAGCTTTGTTATCCTCAGAAATAAACAAGTAACTTTTAGAAGTAGTTAAACCAAAACATCATCAGTTGTTCCGTAAATTATTTTTTAATTAAACACATTAAAAGCTCACTTACTGTTCTGTTACAAACTCTCCCGCTTTTGTCTACACTACTCGTCCCTGAAAAAATCCTTGATTTTAAACAAGTAAGAAAAGGCTTGCATGCATGACTGAATAACAGTTTAAAGCATAGGAAAGATATTTCCTATACAAATTTCATATTAATAAAAGCAGAACAAGCAAAATCATCTTTATGTAGTATTACCTTTTGATTAGAAGTCTCTTAAAATAATTTTTTTAAAAGTAAATGAAAAAGAAACATTCTTGCAATGCGAACATTCTGAGGTCAAACACTTCTATTCAGAACTGCAAATGGTATTAATGGCCCATGAATAGCAACATACCTTTCTATATACCAGAGGTTCTAAGGATAGATAACCTATTAGAATCACCCGGCAAACTTTAAAACATTGATAGCTACCTCCTGAAGACTGACAGTAGACCTGCAAAGTAGTCTAATAAGCCATATTTTTAAAAGCTCTTTTTGGCTAGTGTTTCTGATGCAAATATCCCTGAGAATCATTGTTCTAAAATATTCACTTCCCCCTTTAAAGAATCTGATTTAGCTGGGGAGAGTGGGAGTTTAAGTTGATGGCTGACAATTAATCTAAAAGAGATCCACAGAAAGGCAATTAAAATGATAACCCTGATAGAATACCAATGCAAAATAAACCAACACTTCTCAAACTGTAATATACACACAAAAGACATAGGGATTTTGTTAAAATGCAGGTTCTGATTCAAATCAGTCAATGGACCTAAAAAAATATTTTTGAAGACAGATCACAGCTTTTTATTTTAGATTGTAAAAAACAAAAAACAAAAATCAAAATCAATGTAAGAGAGACTATTATAAAAGATACAAAGAACTGATATCAGCAGGAATGGAAGGGTGAGAACCACCTAAAATTTGTTCCTTCATAAAAGCAATGTGAACACTGGCAAAACTGTTAGAATCAATTTTGTCAAAACATTGAAAATCAACTAACTGCCTGTAATAATCTGAGGAGTATTTATTCAAGAAAAAAGGGTAAATCTCAGTAAGAATAAGCTTTGCGTTGTTTTAGCTTGCTGTATTCATAACACTCCACACAGGCTCCAGGTAGCCATAATAGCCACCAGTGTAGCAGACACTGAAGGATACAGCAAAACTTTGGTGCTCCTTCAAAACACCAGTCTCTAGAGAACATTTGACAGTTCCTTGAAACTTCCACTAACAGGGCTCTTTTTTTACTTGACCTGATTCAGAACTTATTGTTAATATTCCCTGACCCTTACCAGAACTTTTGTAGAAAAATAATCTGTGATATGTTTTTACTTTTAATATTGCAGCACCTTTAAGTGCTGAAAATGGTTGTGACAAGCAAGACTTGACCAAAAAATTTAAAAGGAAAAGCTCTGGAATGAGATGTCCATAGGAGACTTGAAAAGTCCAATACATTGTGTGAATCTAGAAGTCTCTAACTGACCTTGAGATTCTGCTGAACATCAAGTAAAGACTTAGTGGTCAAATGACTGGCTAAGTGTTGAAGGTATGCCCCAACAAGCAGAGTCCATCCTAAAAGGCTGGCAGTCTTATTGGTTTTAATAAACTATGAGTACAAATATGAGCTGTCCACTAAACTAACCAAGCATTCAATATCTACAGAATTAGTTCATAAGTCATGAAACAAACAAGCAAACCCTGGGGAGAGGAAATCTGATTTCCAGAATTGCCACATTGTATTTGAAATGTTCAGTTTTTAACAAAAAAATTAAAAGACACAAGAAGACAGGAAGGTGTGTTCCTCACACATGAAAAAAAAAGCAGTCACTATAAGCTCTCTGAGGAAGCACAGAGGTTGGACTTAGCAAATAAAAACTTTACATCAGCTATTTTAAGTACGTTCGAAGAATTAAGAGAAAACCATGACTAAAAACATTAAAGAAAATTATAAGAATGATGTCTTAGGTAAATGGGAAAAAATACAAACTCTTGACATTAAAAGGAAAATAACTGATTTCAATATACCATTTCTGATAACAAATAGAAAAACAAAATAAAAGATCTACAAAAAAATAGAGAACTTGAACACTTTAAACAGACTAGACCTAATGGCCGTCTATAGAAAAGTCCACATAGTGACAGGAGAATAGACATAGAGAAACAGCAATACTTTCTGAATATGATTAAACACATGGGTGATGAGTTCCTGCAGGTAGAAATCAAATGGATTTCACAGACCCCACAACAGTGTGTAGTTGCAAGGCTGAGATTTTAGAGGGCAACTACCACTTTCTTTCGTTAGTGCTCATTTTAAATTTTGTAAGTACATACTTACAAAACGGTTTGTGTTATAACAACTTGCATGCCTTCCTTAACTTTTCCACTATCAAACTCTAAAACCTTTTAAAGAATGAGAGACTAGGGCTGGCCAGTTGGTTAGATCATGGCACTAATAACACAAAGGTCCAGGATTCAATCCCTGCACCAGCCAGCTGCCAAAAGCAAAACTATAGAAAATAAAAAGGATGAGAGATATTTTCAGTGGCATCCCCAAAGAAAGTGGTTTCCCAGACTTGGATTTCAAGACCAAAATAAAATGATTGGTTATGGCACTCCAGTCAGATTATTAAATTTTTGTTTTGTCTAGTAAGAAAACTTATAAAAACTACCAGCATTTCTCATTTCAGAAAATGTGACTAAGAAGGAAAACAAACAATTTAGCTTCATAAAAAAACACCACATCTGTACATCTCATTTCAATAAAAGACCAGTGAAAATGTCAGACTGCGTCAATAATATTTCAGACTGGCATTTGAAACCATCTTCACAATGACAACATAATTGGCCTGGAAATGAATGGGGACATCTATCATATTTATCCAAACATACATAAGAATATTTAGTACATTTTGTATTTAAAATAAAAATCAACTGAGGGAATTATCTGGATTAGAAAAATACCAGTCTTAACTGGTCCGATTAAATGATGATGGCAGAATGGTGAGAAAGCATACTGCACTGAGCTGGTCAAAGGAGCTAACACTATATCTTCTCAACATTAATGACTTATTAAGTACAAAGACACAATTCACACTTAAAAGTAATTTCTACCTGATAGTCTCGTAGACCAACCAATATAATGTCTGAGGTATTTATCCAAACCTATAAAAGAAAATTTACAGCGTGTTATTTTGAAATAAAAACAAATTATAAAGAGCAATGTTAAATGAGTCTTCCCACAAAAAGAGATATTCTATTCATCATCTGTGAGGAATGTATCTATTAAATGAGTCTTCCCACAAAAAGAGATATTCTATTCATCATCTGTGAGGAATGTATCTATCAAGAACTAGGGAAAAACTACAGTATGTAGTATATCCTGTATTATTATACATGTGTAACCTACTTATATAAAGTGCATGGTTAAGGTATATTAGGGAAAAATTGTAGTATATTGGTGAGTTTATTCAAATTTTTCTCATTTAAGATGTTAACCTTTAACAACTTTATTTCAACTACTCAAAAGTTTTAAATTCCAGAAGAATGATTATTCATCACAGAAACTAAGAGATGGTTAATCACAAACCTCTTTTAAGATATTTAATTATCCAAAATATGTAAAAATTACCCATTTACATAAACACAACCATACAGAAACCAACCTACATAAATATAACCCCTGCTATTATCTGAACATTTGTGTTCCTTCCAAAAATGTGTTGAAATCCTAACCCCTAAAATAAAGGTGTTAAGAAACGACACCTTTCGGAAGTGATATAGTCATGAAGGCAGAACTCTCTTAAACACAATCAGTATCCTTATAAAAGAGGCTCAAGGAAGCTCCTCCCTTCCACCATGTCAGGACTCAGTGAGAAGGCACCATCGAGGAATAAGGAAGCCCTTATCAGACACCAAATCTGCCTAGATATTGGATTTACTAGTCTCCAGAACTATGAGAAGTTAATTTCTGTGGTTTATAAGCTACACAGTAGATGGTATTTTTTTTTATAGCAGCCTGAATAGAGTAAGACAGTCCCTAAAAGTGCCATTAATCGGAAAAGGATTAACAGACCAAAAAGACATTTTTAAATCATAAAAATCAGAGTTGAGGAAACTGTTAAAAAATTTAATTTATAAATCTGCTTGATGTGATATAATAAGTCTATTACTTAACATATCCCATATTCGAATTTCCCCATGATGACTTACAACTATTTCCCCCAATCCAAAATCTAATGAAGGACAAGCACTGCATTAATTCTCAGTCTCTCTCCTACAAAAATTACACAATTACAAGCTTTTTTTCGTTTTCTTTTCATGGCACTAACGTTTGAGTCCAAACCAGTTGTTTTATAGATCAGATTTGTCTCACTCTTTCCTCAACATTATGTTCACAGTAAACATTTCTGTCAGAAATACAACCTAAGTGAAGTAAATGATTCATTATAAATAGAATCTTTAATAAGTTAACATCAAGGGTCTTCCTGTTTTACTTACTTGCATTTTTATATAAATCACTGCTCTACTGAAGTCTTTTTGGAACTCATAAAAATAAATTGCTTGGCTGTCCGTGGTCTTTTGTTATTCCAGATAAATGACTGTATAGTTCTTTCCATTTCTGAGAGAAATGTCATAGGAATTTTGATGGGGATTGCATTGAATTTGTATATTACTTTGGGTAGTATAGTCATTTTCACTATATTGATTCTTCCAATCCAGGAGCATGGGATGTCTTTCCATCTTCTTGTATCCTCTCTAATTTCTCTCAGGAGTGGTTTATAGTTCTCATTAAAGAGATTTTTCACATCCTTAGTTAGTTCAATTCCTAAGTATTTTATTTTTTTGGTGGCTATTGTAAATGGGCAAGCTTTCTTGATTTCTCTTTCTGCTTCTTCACTATTGGTGAATAGAAATGCTACTGATTTTTGTGTGTTGATTTTGTATCCTGCTACTGTGCTGAACTCTTTTATCACCTCTAAGAGTTTTTTAATAGATGATTTGGGCTGTTCGATATATAGGATCATGTCATCTGCAAACAGGGACAGTTTGACTTCATCCTTTCCAATCTGGATGCCCTTTATTTCCTTCTCAATTCTGATTGCTCTGGCTAATACTTCCAAAACTATGTTGAATAGGAGTGGTGAGAGTGGGCATCCTTGTCTGGTTCCTGTTCTTAAAGGAAAAGCTTTCAGTTTTTCCCCATTCAGGATGATATTGGCAGTGGGTTTATTATATATGGCTTTGATTATGTTGAGATACTTTCCATCTATACCTAATTTATAAAGGGTCTTTATCATGAATGAGTGTTGGATTTTATCAAATGCTTTTTCGGCATCAATAGAGATGATCATATGGTCCTTGTGTTTGATTTTATTAATATGGTGGATCACATTTATTGATTTGCATATGTTGAACCAACCTTGCTTCCCTGGGATGAATCCCACTTGATCATGGTGAATGATCTTACATATGTGCTGTTGTATTCTGTTTGCTAATATTTTATTGAGAATTTTTGCATCTATATTCATCAAGGATATCAGCCTGTAGTTTTCTTTCTTGGTTATATCTTTACCTGGTTTTGGTATCAGGATGATGTTTGCTTCATAGAATGTGTTTGGAAGCTTTGCTTCTGCTTCAATCTTTTGGAATAGTTTGTAAAGAATCGGTGTCATTTCCTCTTTGAATGTTTGGTAAAATTCTGCTGAGAATCCATCTGGTCCCGGGCTTTTCTTTGTTGGGAGCTTTCTGATAACAGCTTCAATCTCCTTTATTGTTACTGGCCTGTTCAGGTTTTCTATATCTTCTTGATTTAATTTTGGAAGCTTGTGTGAGTCCAGAAATTTATCCATTTCCTCCAGATTTTCGAACTTGTTGGCATATAGCTGTTTATAGTAGTCTCGGTGCTTGGCACATATATCTAAAGCAGAGACATTTTTTATATCAAGTTTTATATTAAAGTAAAAGAAAAATCAACCCACATACCTTTTTTCTCAATTTTCCTCTAATGTGGCATAACCTCTTCACACCATCAAAACACATTGCTTCTAATCGTCCATTTCCCAACATTTTGATGACCTGAGCATACTCTGGAAGGGAAGAGAGAAGAGTATGAGATATTTTTCAGCTTTTGTTAAAATGTAACAATATAATAATTGAAATTTAGCTCACTGTTAATAAAAGCTTCATTTTTACTGTTAAATTTAGTCCAAACTACCTTTGTTTCTTTCTTTCTTTTATGGGTAATAAGCGTGAAGAGCAAAATGCTTTAATATACTACCCTAAGATCCCTCTTTCAAGGTGACACATATTCTACTTTTATCCAGGGAAACCAGAGAACTCTCTGTCAGCTTCTACAAACGCTCCCAGTTATGTGTACATATTTTAACCCTCTTATTTTAAAAAGTAAATAAAAGCCTAAGTCAAGTAATTTGTCCAAGGTCACAAACACCATCTCCACAACAAGCTATATCTGTAACTAGAAATATTTTATTATCTACTCACTTGGAATAAATCAATTGTTTTTATGATTGTCTACTTTACTTTTAAGCATCAGGGTAACTCATTTCAAAATGTACAGCATAACCCTGGCTCATCAATTTCTCACATTTGGACCCTCACCCAATATTTATTCTCTTTTCCCTCAGAAACTTTAGAAAAGCCGAGTAGTTTAATAATTCCTTTGTTTACTTTAGAATATCTCAGTGATTATTTTAAAATTCTTAAAATCAAGAATGTTCCTAGATAAAAAATCAAATGTTTAATTAGAATATTTCCAAAAGGGCCCTGATTCTACTGCCACTAGAAAACACTCTGATAAGATATATGACCGTTAGGCAGAATGCAGTCTCTTCTAGAATCAAATAACAAAAAGATGAGTGGCGTAGAGCAAGGGAAATGGATAATTACAAAATCTTCACATTACTAAAGTTTCTATTTAGGATAAACCTCAAAGAGAACAATGACTCCTTTATAATTACACTGAGAGAAATCTGAGGAGCTACGCTGTGGGGTTGTTATGTGGCAATGAGTTCCTTTTACCTTGGCTAATGAGACTTGCTTACCACTCAGCACTTTTCCAACATGGGAGATAACATGAAAGAAAAATGAAATGAAGAAAATTGGCTCTGAAAAATAACATCGATATCTAATGAACATGAGAAAGATGAAGACTCAGCATCTAAATGCCTTTAGCTAGAAAATGTTTCTTATAATTAAAAGATGTTGACTTTTGAGTGGCTTATTTATAAGCTGAATGAATATCAAAAATTCTATATAGAAATGTGTGATTTTTGTTATATGGTGCCAGAAATTACTGAAAAACCTGAGGAAACTTGAAAAGAGATTATGTACTATATCAGCACTATGCAAAAGAAGTTTTTTTCTGTTGATGGGAACACTATACAGTACATCTGAATTAAATGACATGGTAATTACTAGATATACATTTTAATTTCAATTCATTTAAATAGCCACACGTGGCTAGTGGGACCTATTTGAACAGCACAGTATTAGATAACACTATTAAAGTTAAATTTCTTGTAATAATTCTACTGTAGTTATAAAAGAGATAGTACTTGATCTTAGGAGATATATACTTAAGTATTTACATCTAAAGTCTGTAACTTTATATAACTAGATATCTGCATGAAAATTTAAAATGGTTAGGAAAATATGTACACATACATATACAAGGAGCAATAAATGAAATAAAAAAGGCAATGTTAAAACTGGCAAATCTAGATTAAAAAATGAGACTGGTACTGCTATACCAAGTTTTCTGTTAAGTTCCACATTATTTTTTTTAAAAAAAGCAGAAAGAAAGTAACTGTTCAAATTTATTTTACTTGTTTTTGGAATGTTGGTCTTCACTGCCTTTATCATTCCAATAAGTCTAGTCAACTATTCAGGTTTTATTATATGTTATGATTATGTGCTATTGGCACTGAAGAACTGAGACTGAAAGGTCTTGGAATTTATTCTTCACAAATATCTATGTTTTTACGCAAATCAATAAATGTGATACACCATATCAATAAAATCAAACCCAAGGACCACATGATCATCTCTATAGATGCTGGAAAAGCATCTGATAAAATTCAACACTCATTCATGAAAAAGACCCTCTATAAGGTAGGTATAGATGAAAAGTATCTCAACATAATTAAAGCCATATATGATAAAACCACGGCCAATATCATCTTGAATGGGAAAAAGCTGAAAGCTTTTCCTTTAAGAACAGGAACTAGACAAGGATGCCCACTCTCACCACTCCTATTCAACACAGTGTTGAAGTACTAGCCAGAGCAATCAGAGAAGGGAAGGATATAAAGGGCATTCACATTGGAAAAGATGAAGTCAAACTGTCCTGTCCCTCTTTGCAGATGACATGATCCCATATATCAAACAGCTTAAAGCCTCTACAAAAAAACTCAACGAATTGATAAATGATTTCAGCACAGTAGCGGGATACAAAATCAACACACAAAAATCAGTAGCATTTTATTCTCCAATAGTGAACATGCAGAAAGAGTAATCAAGAAAGCCTGCCCATTTACAATAGTCACCAAAAAAATAAAATACTTAGGAATTGAGTTAACCAAAGATGTGAAAATTCTATATAATGAGAACTACAAACCACTGCTGAGAAAAATTAAAGAGGACACAAGTAGATGGAAAGATATCCCATGCTCTTGGAGTGGAAGAATCAACATTGTGAAAATGTCCATACTGCCCAAAGTGATATACACATTCAATGCAATCCCCATCAAAATTCCAATGACATTTTTCTCTGAAATGGAAAAAACTATCCAGACATTTATATGGAATAACAAAAGACCATGCATAGCCAAAGCAATTCTGAGCAAAAAAAATAAATAAAGCTGGAGGCATAACACTACCTGACTTTAAACTATACTACAAAGCTATAATCAACTGGCATAAAAACACACACACTGATCAATGGAATAGAATAGAGAATCCAAAGATCAACCCACACACCTACAGCCATCTGATCTGTGACAAAGGCACCAAGCCTATACACTGGGGTCGGGACTGCCTCTTCAGCAAAGGGTGCCAGACTGCCTCTTCAGCAAATGGTACTGGGATAATTGGATATCCATATGCAGGAGAATGAAACTAGACCCATACCTGTCACCATATACTAAAATTAACTCAAAATGGATTAAGAATTATATAAATATACACCCTTAAACAATCAAACTTCTCAAAGAAAACATAGAAGAAACACTTCAGGAAGTAGGACTGGACACAAACTTCATGAATATGACCCCAAAAGCACAGGCAACCAAAGGAAAAATAAACAAATGGGATTATATCAAACTAAAAAGCTTCTGCACAGCAAAAGAAACAATTAACAGAGTAAAAAGACAACCAATAGAGTGGAAGAAAATATTTGCAAAATATACATCTGACAGGTCCGGCCCGGTGGCACACTCGGTAGAGTGCGGCGCTTGGGAGCACGGCGGCGCTCCCGCCGAGGGTTTGGATCCCATACAGAGACCAGTCCGCTCACTGGTTGAGTGCGGTGCAGGCGCAACACCAAGGGTTGCGATCCCGTTGCCGGTCGCAGTACAGGCGCAACACCGAGGGTTGCGATCCCATTACCAGTCACGAAAAAAGACAAAAAGGAAAAAAAAAAAATA